TCTAGTGACAAGTTGGGATGAAATAACAGTGAATTACATCAATAACCTCATCGACAGCATGCCACGTCACCTTGCAGAAGTTATTAGAGTATGAAGAGGATCAACCAAGTACTGAATGTTTAGTATGAACTAATATAAGGTTAATAATGGCTGGAGACATCGAATTTAATATAAAGTTAGAGACGCTATTTATAATAATCCATGTTATATTTTGTCATTATTTATGTTTTGTTGTGATAGGTGAAATGCTGAATTACACATATTTCTACATGTTTGCTGTTCTAATAAATAGTTCATGATGTCTATAGGACCTGTCTCATTGTACAAATTACACATGCAAATATTTAATGTGACATAAAAATCTCAGTTTGACACTGCTAATGTATGTGCATTCTATCTTAATAATAATGATCGTATTTGTAAGAAAATATGCAAATATTTTGGCCAAGACTGTAATAGATCTTTCCAATTCAACATATTCACTCATTCAGATCATAAAGATATGTTCAAATCAAGGATTAAAACTGTAAAAACATGGATATTCTTGTACTTGTAATCAAACTAGAACACAAACTAATATGGATGAACTTTGGGCACCACGACCATTCAGAAAGAAATTGCAACAAATCGTACTACAGCCGTAGTAAACAAAGATCCTATGAACACAAAGGTGAGTGGCAAAAGTCGTTAACATCTCCCAGTTAAAAGTACACAACGTAATCAAGAAGGACCTCTGTATGGAAAATCGGCCCACCTATCATGTGTTGCGTACGCTGCTTCGACGAAATATCCATTCAAATGTCGCATACCTTAAGCAGTTGTAGAATGAAAAGATATTCATTCTATCCCACTCTCATAAAGGAATGACATTGAAGTCACAGGACGCAGAGCCTATGGATTTATGTGGTACTGGACCTTTTGAACAGGCACTGGAAAATCGTCATCCTCCTACACTAGATGGCTTATGGAAATCATGTAGGACAGAGGGGTGTATATTAAACACATAAACTACTCTTCAGGGCTATTTTCAGAATCCAAAATTTTCCAATAGAGCATGACGAACGTGGCTACATGGACTATAACCATTGATAAGTCTCCAAAATGGTTTTAATATAACGAGCTCAACCCCTCTACAAATACAGAGGCATAGATGACAAGATAACAAATGAAAATTACAAAAACAGAAAAATATACATGTTACACATATAAATATATCTTGAAGATATATTTATACATAAATGCAAACATAATTGAAGCACTGTGATTTCAAAAATTCACAATGTTATGATATTATGGTTGGTTGGGTCCTAGAGATCCAAAAAAGCCACTGTTGGTGTTAAAGTTGACATGTAGGTAGTGGAGACGTTTCCCAAGATATATTATGAAGTCTATTTGCTTGTTGATTCTCAGAATTATTTTATTTTACGGCTATAACCTCCTTTGTCATAGCCGAGAGCTTACTTATAGTTTTCATCTTCGTGGAAAGAATTATTATTTCTTGTGATCAATTTTTACTCTTGTACCTCATTATGTGTATCAACATTCATAAGAACAAGGACTTCTTATATTGTGGAAACTGTTGGTTCACTTTGTTGGTCTGAGGTCTTTGCTCTGGCAGTGCAGCTGATACTAGTCAACCCTGCTGTCACTGGAATGGCTCTCTCTTTCATTTAGGACTCTTCTCTTCTTCTGTCAACTTGAATGGCAGCACACAGTTATTGGCTGCACCCACTTTCTCTTTGTATTGTATATGAGCTGATGTATGGTCCATCAGGAACAATCTGGAAATGGCCACTTCATACAACTCCTACATTTTGTATCCATTTTGATTAAGGACTGAGTTGCAGGAATGACAGTAACAGGGCTACTAATGAAATTCTGATTCCTCAGCCATATGTTGTTGTTCTTTTGAAATCTTGAAATGCAGTGTTTAGCTTTTCAATTTTCATGTTCATTATATTCATTTTCTTTGGTTTTTATACCATTTAGTGGTCACTTTTTTTACTGCTATGTCGCCTTTTCTCTCAGGGACATCCAGAATTTCCTCCCTTATCTCAATCTTAACATTATTCTGTGGCATTTGTATAACTGGTCTAACGCAAACGTTAATAAAAATGACCATTTCTTTATCACCAGTCCAGCTTATCGCTTGGAACTTTCTTGCCACAATGATTATCCATTTATCCATCCCTATGTTCTCTTAGAATTCGGTTCATCTGTCCTTAAGTTAAATAAGTGTCATGTTTCACGTTTGCCACTTTCAATATTTAAACAAATGGCCTTTATTGAATGATAAAGAGTTAGTTAAAAATAAGAGTTAGTTCATGATGAAACAAATACTAGGCTTTAGCTAGAAATTTACCAAACAGATTGTTCATCAGCACCAAATTTGCATGGTTCAACTTGGAAAGCAAGGTTCATAATTTCTTTTGGGCTTCAGATGGTAATTACACTGTAGCTTTACAGGTATAATTTTTTCTATTCAAAACCAAATATTTTGTTAATTTTCCCTCTTTAAGCATTTATGGCCACTTTTGTGTTTCAGATACAGAGTTTAGTTCTGTTCCTTCTTGTTATCTTCTACCAGAGATGCGTGCTAAACTATAGTTTTTTAACGTCTTTGACGTCAGGGTAACTTTTTTTAGCTGACTGGTCAGTGTTAGAGTGAGTAATCCACTCTGGGATTTAGAAACTCGCATGCCATCAAAGTGACGCAAGGTCGGCAAAGCAAGAGGGACTTCTGGCCACACAGATAGTGTCTAATTATACTTTGAGGGATTAAGAGAGACTTATTTGTGAACATCACTAAGTGCCACCTTTTCTGTTGCTCTCTAAACTCTGGTCAACAATTAATATAGTATCGGTGGTGTCTGTGCCAAGAGTAAATTAACAACCAGGGTGAAGTTATTTCAATAACAAGGTTGTAATGAGTATGTTCGCTCTGTGGTACGACTTTTTCAATGATATCAACCTATCTTATAAAATAAAAACTTTGTATATATAAAAGAAAAATAAACTTAGAATGTGAGATAGCAAATTATATTCTCTTATGACCATGGTTTGTATTTTGTGTAAATATATGTATGTATGATGAAACTAACACCAACTTCCCTAGCAGTGACGTACAGATGCTATTAATATAGCAGAATAGTATGCAAGTTTACGATCTCATGAGGTTGTGCTCTCGTGACTTACTATGTGAATAAAAACACCATGCCAGAAGCTTCGCCGAGAGAGAGAGAGAGAGTCACGAGACAATTATTGAAGGGTATAGTTATTGCTGTTTTTCACTCGATATTGAAAGGTATTGTTTGAATATTGTATCTGCTGTATATTTTTTTGGGGAAAATTTAGTTTTTCTTTATGGTCCCTTTCCCTGATTCCATTATGATTGATATATTAATATTTATGATAAATTGTTTATTAATATTAGTGTGAAGTCCTGGCCAAGAACTTGTGTATTAATTGAAGTTGTTTCTATGTGTTGGTATTGTGAATAAATTGTGTTTTTGTTGTTGAACTCTGATTGTAGTGGAATGTTCATTTTAAACCGTTATATGATTATAATATCATGGAGAGGAAGCTCTCCAGTTGTAAACCTGCTACAATAGAACTAACATTCAGAGATTCTGGTTCGTTGTTTCCACAGAAAGTTCGGGAATGATGAATGTACCATAAATAACAAACTACAACAATGTCATGACCACTGTTTGAATTAAGGAGAAAAAATCATCAAACTCTATTAACAAAAATCAAACATAATTTATTTGGATATTATCCAATCATAGATCGGTGTACACTTCTGGATCCTCATTATATAAAATCATAGATCTGTGTACACATCTGGATCCTCATTATATAATACACATTCCTGTAGATTTTCAAAAAAAAATTAAATGCTAGTGTTGAGTCAGAGATTACTTGTTAATTACTGATTAAATGCTAGTGTTGAGTCAGAGATTACTTATTAATTACTGATTTAATGCTAGTGTTGAGTCAGAGATTACTTGTTAATTACTGATTAAATGCTAGTGTTGAGTCAGAGATTACTTATTAATTACTGATTAAATGCTAGAGATTACTTATTAACATTTAATCAGTAATTAACAAGTAATCTCTGACTCAACACTAGCATTTAATCAGTAATTAACAAGTAATCTCTGACTCAACACTAGCCACTGTACCACTGGGAGGGGGGCTTTGATCAGTAATATGTCTGCGGATTTACAACGCTAGAAACCGGGTTTCAATACCCGTGGTTGGCAGGGCAGAGATAGCCCATTGTGTACCTTTGTGTTTAATTACAATACTGATTAAATGTAATTGCTCTTGTATTTATTTCAAAATGAAAAAATAATTCATTATTCTTCAGAAGATGCTAAAAAGATTAACCATTGTTGGAAATATTTTAGAAATTTCTTCATTTTTTTCAATTTTATTTAAATAAATTCAGACTTTTGAAGTGTGGCACATATTTAACATATATATATATGCCCCTCTGTGTGTATGTGCCGAAATGTAAACAGGTATTTCGTAGAGCAAGACTAAAAGCTCAGACAACACATCACAATATCCACAATTTCTCTCCACATTGTTTTTTTTAATCATCGGCTGTAAACTACTTTTATCATTTGACTTGTGCTCCTTCTGCGACCTTGTGCAATTGTGTAAACAATCTGACAAGCTCAAAACACGGTTTATCATTTCCATGTGTTTATTCGTTTGGTTTTAAGTTACAAATCAATCTTATAGCGTTTGAACACACAGACATATATAATCAACATTAACTGGAGCTTAGCAGTATTATTTATAGTCTTATTGAACTACAGTGACTTCTACGTAATCATACCAGATAATTTTAACGACACATGATAATTCAGTTTCAGATCTTTATCCATTTTCTTGTGTCTAATCTAAAATAGCGTAGCTTCTACTAATACTAATATAAATTAACTAATACGGAAACGTCATAGAAAGGATGGGGAAATACCAGTTTCGATTCAACAAAAGGAGCAGGTTTTGCTGCATTCCTTTTTCATGTAATTGACAAAACGGAAGCAATGTCCTTTCTGAGCCCAAATCTTGCATCTCACTTCTTGATCTTTACATATAACGGGTGGGTCTCCTATTATAAGAAGTATATTAAAAACCCATCATTACTTAAGGATTTCGAGACTAAAATCCTTAAAAATCAAACTATCCAAAATCAGCTAACATAATCACCACATAATGCTTAGTATTTTTTAAACATATTTCGAACTAAATATTTATTGCAACTTGTAAACGGACGTGTGGCGACATCGCAATTCCTACATTTAAAGTACTATTAAAATGATAAACCATAGATACTACTTCTTATGACCACATCTACTGCCATATGCTGGCGTAATTGGCCCTGATTTTAACTTTATGGATGATAACGCTACCTCCAACGTGTTAAACTGGTCCACACATACCTTGAAGAAGATGCGATTAACCTATGCAATCACTGGACTTCAATTCTATAAAGCACGTGTGGGAAGTTTTTGGAAAATACATTGCACATTGTCAAATGATTTCAGACACCAATAATGCTCTTGAAATAAGCCTTCTAGAGAAATGGATAAAGTCGTCCCAGGGCCTTATCAATGCTTTGAATTTAATTACACAAGGCTTGTGGTGACTTTATTTTCAACCGAAATGAAACGCCATGAACCGTAAAGAGGTAGAGCCATCTCTACCAAATATTCATTCACGAAAGTTGGTTGAATAATGAATCATTTACATTTTAGAGCTCATGATGCCTAATTTCCATTAAAAAAGAAGCTGACGTTATTTTACAATACCGGTTTTCCTTTACTACCTGAAACATTCTAGATTACAGCTGTTTTTTAAATATTTTATGCAATATAATATGCCGTACAAAATGTAGGTTAAATAAACTACAAATTGCGTACACTAAACACGAACCAACAAAACCTTTTATGTATTTTGCACAATAAACATGAACCAACAAAACCTTTTATGTATTTTGCACACTAAACATGAACCAACAAAACCTTTTATGTATTTTGCACAATAAACATGAACCAACAAAACCTTTTATGTATTTTGCACAATAAACATGAACCAACAAAACCTTTTATGTATTTTGCACAATAAACATGAACCAACAAAACCTTTTATATATTTTGCTCAATAAACATGAACCAGTAAAAAAATTATGTTTATGAAATCTTACCTTGACAAAAGTTGCAGGATTTCTTGCAATACCGGTGCATGAAACTGGAGTTTCGTTCACACTGGCGATTTCTTCTCCAGAAGTTGCAGTAAGAACTTTCATCTCGACACAATGTATATTCTGTGGAGAAAATGATACAAGAATGAGGAGTGACACATAAAGGAAACATTGTTTAAGAGTGGAAACTACCACCATATATTTTAAAGCATCTGGTTGGTTCTGTAAATTATAAGTCTATTCCGAATAATAAGGTTGCGATACTAAAGCGAATGTTGGTTACAATCGAGTGTCACTTTCTTACTTGCTGTGGTTTGTTAATGTGTATTGACAAAAGTCATGGTATTTGATCAAAAATACCTTAGGTGTGAAAAATAATGCGCCGCCTAAAAGGATTGAGTGTAGCTACCAGTTTGGCCGTCAATTTTGATTTCATTTCTTTAAGTCGCACAGTCAATCCTTTTTTGGACACACCTTTTT